AGATCAAGTGAGGTACTAATACCAATCTATAAAGTAAGACTGCTATCATGTCTCCCCTGGTCCTTCTCTTCACTAGACTAGCCATGCCCAGTCCCTGCAACCGTTCATTGTATGCTTTAGCTCCCAATCCCCTAATCATCTTGGTTGCTCTTCCCCACACTCTTTCTAGACTCTCAACATCTTTTTTATAGTGTGGTGACCAAAACTGGATGCAGCATTCTAGATGTGGTCTTACTTTATAGATTGGTATTAGTACCTCACTTGATCTTGATTGTATCCTTCTGTTAATGCAATTTAGGATTGCATTGGCTTTTTTGGCTGCTGCCGCACACTGTTGGCTCATATTTAATTGGTTGTCCCCTAAGACTCTGAGATCCCTTTCACAGTTGCTGCTATTAAGCCTGGTTTCATCCAGTCTATATTTGTACGTTTGGTTTTTCTTGCCTAAGTGTAAGATTTTACATTGAATGTCATTTTGTTAGATAGGGCCCAGTGTTCAAGTCTGTCGAGATCCATCTGGATCTTGCGCCTATCATCTAGGATGTTGGCTATTCCTGCCAGTTTAGTATCACCTGCAAATTTGGTAAGTTCCCCTTCTATTCACTCATCTAAGTCATTTATGAAGATATTGAAGAGTACTGGGCCTAGGACAGAACCTTGTGGTACCCCACTGCTTACTTCCCTCCAGGTAGATGTAGTACCATTAAGGACTATGGTTTGTCAGCCAGTTATGAATCCATCTGATGGTGATGCTATCTATCCCACTTTTTTCTAGCTTGCCAAGAAGTAGGTTGTGGTCTACTTTGTCGAATGTCTTGCTGAAATCTAAGTATATTATGTCCACAGTATTTCACTGGTCTACTAATTTAGTCACTATGTTGAATGAAATAAGATTGGTTTGGCATGATCTGTTTTTAACAAACCCATGCTGACTTCTAGTTATTACTTTACTCATTTCTAGGTGTTGGCAGATCTTTTTTTAATTATCTTTTCCATTATCTTCCCGGGTATTGAAGTTAGGCTGATTGGTCTGTAGTTTCCTGGGTCTGTTTTTCTCCCCTTTTTTTGAAGATGGGAACCACATCAGCTCTTTTCCAGTCCTCTGGTAGTTCTCTGTTGCTCCAGGAATTTTGGAAGATGTGGTACAGTGGTTCTGAGATAACATCTGCCAGCTCCTTTAGAACTCTGGGATATAATCCATCAGGTCCTGATGTTTTATAGTCATCAAGATCAGACAGGTGTTCTCTTACCATTTTTGGGGCTTATTTTAACTTTTATTTCTAGTCTGTCTGTTACAGTTATGTTTTTGGTAGGTTGGACTATTGTTTCTTTTTGCTTGAAGACCGATGCAAAGAATGAGTTAACAGCTTTGCTTTCTCTCTGCTGCCTGTTACTTCTTGGCCGTCTTCTCTCTTTAGTGGACCGACTTTTTTATTTTCTTGTTAATCTATCATGTATGTATGTATGTATGTATGTATGTATGTATCTATCTATCTATCTATCTATCTATCTATCTATCTATCTATCTATCTATCTATCTNCCACAAGCATTGTGAAATTAAACATATTAGAAACTTGCACTTTCTCTTTTCTTTCTTTTCCATTTAACCAGACTGGGCCACAGCAACACGTGGCCGGGTACAGCTAGTAATAAATAAGTGACTGAAACAACACCTTTGGGACAGCCATGACCTGGATGACTGAAGAATCCCCATAGACAAGAGACTCCTGTGCTCAGTGAACTGACAAAGCACCCATTCCCACCCAGGAGAAGCAATCCTTAGATCCATTTGCACCACTTAAAGATATCAGCTGGTCTCATTCACCTCACATGATATCCTAAGGATATATTTATCCAGATTTAAGAAAAGTTCACATGCCCCAAGAAAGGGTGTAAAAAAATCAGTGCCAAGCTTGCATCCTGCCTCTTGGAAGTACACCCCAAAAGGACAGTGCCTGGAACCACTAAAGCAGTGAAGAAAGACCCCCTCCCCAGACAGAAAAAGAAACCATGAGGCAGGAAAAAATTCAAACACAATACTAATAATTAAATCACAACTGTTTAAATCCTTTTAAAACTAAAACACAAGCCTTGTCTGGGTCATTGCCAGAGCTCACACCCCAGGCAAGCTCAAGTATAAACACTTGAGATAAGCCTAACTACAAAGAATGCAATTAGCTGCTAAAATGTAGCAAAAGAGCAAACACAGTAGCTGTTGCTTGTTAAAACAATTACCAGAACAGACACAGGAACTAGCCAGATTTCTCAACCCAGTTTCTTTTCAGGAACAGAGATTAAACTTTTTCCTTCCAAACAAAGCTGAATAGGGAAATTTATCCCATCAATAAACACAGGATAAAATGTCACCAAGCACAGAATTAAACTTCACCAAAAACCAGTTTTAGACCAAAAGTCAGAAAGGGTATATAAACTCACGTTTGAATGTCAATCTTTCTAGCTAACCAAGAAGGCTTGCTGAATGTCACTCATCTTGGTTCTTTGTCATTAAAAGCTTCTTTCCGTCAGCTCTGCTTTGTTATTCAATTATTTCTTCAAAGTGCTGATCATTGCATCCTGGCTGGAAGAACTCCAACAGGGGAGTATTTCCTCCCAACAGCAGTGTGAAAAGCTTAAAACAACCCCCTCCTCTTTAAGAAAGTCAAGCCCCAGCAAAGTACCAGCAAAGGAAAAAAAAACTCTGGAGAAGCTCTGGAGGGGACAGTAAGTCTAGGCATACTGCCAAGAATGTAATAAGGGTTAATGGAGGCAGTTTCTGTAAGCAGGGCAATAAAGATTAGGCCAGAAACAACACCAGAATGTTTCCTTCCTCCCTTCCTTACAGGATTAGCCCTGGAAAGTGGGAAAAAACAAAAGGAGATTTCTTCCAACAACCGGNGCTCCTTCCTCCTCATCCTCCTGCTCCTCAGGGGACACCGGACGCCTCCTCTCGCCGCTGCCGCTGAGGGAAGCCGGGTCAGGGGCGGAGGCCACCTCCTCCTCTTCTCCTCCTCAGCCTGGCCGGGGCAGCGCCTGAGGGTGGCATTGTCATCAGTGGCGGCGTCAGGCCTTCCTTGCGCCGTCCCCAATGCAGCAGCCGCAGCAGCAGCAGCAGCCTGACTCAGCAGTGGAGGCGCAGGAGAGGAAGAAGATGCCACAGCCTGCGATGGTGCCATGGCGGGCCGGCAGCAGCAGTAGCAGCAGCACCGACTTGGAGGACTTCCCGCCTGGCCTGCTGGCCCAGCTGATGCTGCCTCCCCCGGCCTCTGGGCCGCCTGCGTCTCAGTCTCCTCCTGCCCTCCCGGGGTGCCTCCGCCACAGAGCCTGGCGCTGCTCTCACAGGGAGGAGGAAGCGTCGGGGATCCAGTGGGCACCCAGTTGAAGAAGAAGAGTGGCTTCCAGATCACCAACGTGACCCCGGTGCAGATCTCGGCTAGCCTCAGCTCCAACAACAGCATTGCCGAAGACATGGAGAGCTACGATGACCTGGATGAGTCGCACACCGAGGACTTCTCCTCCTCCACGATCCTGGATGTCTCACTCTCCCGGGCCACTGACTTGGGGGAGCCCGAGCACAGCTCCTCCGAGGAGATGCTCAACAACTTCCACAAGGCCGACAGCCCTGGCGCTGTCTCCCCCAACCAGCCTCGCCCGGCCCAGCAGCACCGAGGCCTGACCAATGGCAGCGCCCACCCGCTGCCCCTCTATGCCCATGGGGGACACCCCCAGCTTCCCTCCCATGCTGGGGTCCCCCTGCCCATGTCTGGAGGGGCCCCATCCAGCCTGTAGTTCCGGAGGCTGCCCGTCGCGGGGAGCTTGGGGGGTGCCAGGCAGGGCCTGCAGGAGCATCCTCCATGGTGGCTCTTGCAGGGGCCACTGTGGGTCACTTCCATGCGGGGGCCGCCCCTGCCGGGGAAGCCGTGGCCGGTGCAGCGAGTGGCAGGGCCTGCCAGGTGGGCAAGACCCTCACGAACCTTGCCGCTGCTGGCAATGGCATGACCCTGCCCGGAGG